CTCTCTCTCTCTCTCTCTCTCTCTCTCTCTCTCTCTCTCTCTCTCTGTGTGTGTGTGTGTGTGTGTGTGTGTGTGTGTGTGTGTGTGTGTGTCTGCCTGTCTCTCGCTCACGCGCGCGCTTTTGTCTGTCGGCGTGCCTGTGTACACCCACACGTAAGGAAGATTTACTTTCCCGTTTTTCCCAACTACTTTTCTATTCCCAGCATATAAACGTCTCATAACCTTTTCGTCACTGCTATGGCCCTTGAAGCACCACTCACGAAATGCATAAAAGACAAAAGAAGCACAGCAAGGCGGTGTATCTTTCCATGTTCTAACGGAAGATTCGTTCTTGTAACGGTTCAGCCTCCTGACGAGTTCGTGAAACTCCGACGGAAGAGTCTGTCACGGCACCTCGTTTGTTTTCCTCTTCTTCCTCTCTGCCTACTACGGTTTACCGGGCAGCTCTGTTTGACGATGTATATATATTGTCACATGATATCAGAGCGCCAAAGCGAAAAACAGAAACAACAAAAATTGTCACACAGTGTATCGGAGCGCAAAGGCGGAAAAAGACAACACAAGGGGAAAAAAAAAAAAAAAGGAAGGAAAGCCCCACCTGTTCATCACCTCTTACGTACAAGGCCAGCCACGTGGATGACAGGTTGAGCGCTGGCTGCCCCCATCCCCGTGTCACAAGGACCCACTTGCACGCAGCCAAAAGGCAAAAAAGAGGTAAAGAACAGGAGGAGGAGGAAACCAAACCTGACAAGGAAAGGAAAGAAAGCGTATCAGTCAAACAAAGCAAATGACACATCCCACAGATAATCCAATTGTCACAAAGCAAATAACACATCCCATAGATCAACATATTTTTTCTTTTTCTTATTTTCTTATTTTCTTATTTTCTTTTCTTTTCTTTTCTTTTCTTCTCTTTTTTTCTTTTTTTCTCTTGTTTTCTTTTTTTCTTTTTTTTTTTCTTTTTTTCTTTAACTGTCCCCACCTCGGCAGATAGGACAGCTACGGTGAGGATGATGTGGATGTTCACAAGGATACCCAAGGAGAGCTGCGCCAGCACAGCATTCAGCAGGACGGCTAGCACGAACCATCCCATCACATGGGTTCAGCCTCCTGATGAGGCGGTGAAAGTCCGAGGAAACAGTCTGTCTGTCACAGCCCCTCGTTTGTTGTCCTCTTCTCCCTCCCTCTCTGCCTACGGTTTACCGTAGGCAGCTCTGTTTGACGACATACATATGTATATACATAGTAAATATCGTCACACCGTCACACCGTGTATCGGAGCGCAAAGACGAAAAAAGACAAACCGTAAAAGGAAAGAAGGAAGGAAAGCTCCGCCTGTTCATCACCTCTTACGTACAAGGCCGGTCACGTGGATCACAGTTACATATCGTCATGTATATACATCATCACATAAATATCAGAGCGCAAAAGCGAAAAAAAGGAAAACAACAAAGATATCAATTCATTTTTTATCTTCTTCCTTACAAGACTCCCCTGTTCAAAACCTCTTGCGTACAAGGCCGCCCACGTGGATGTAGGTTGAGCGTCGGCTCCCCCCACCCCCGTGTGTCATATCGACCCACTTGCACACAGCCAGAAGGCAAAGAGGCAAAGAAAAGAGGAAGGGAACAGCCAAATAATACAGAACAGGGGGCAACAAAACAGATCCCAGATAAACAAGTCCCACATGCAAGCACCGCCCCTGTCCACAGGCCAAACGACGGGACAAAACCAACCAGTATATATATTGTCACATGATATCAGATATATATCGTCAAATAGAACTGCCCGGTAAACCGTAGGCAGAGAGGGAGAAGAGGACAACAAACGAGGGGCTGTGACAAACTGTTTCGTCGGAGTTTCATATACATATATATATATATTGTCACATTGTGAATCAGAGCGCAAAAAAGGGGAAAGAAAAAAGGAAAAGGAAAAAAGGGAAAGGGAAGGAGGTA